GCTTTGGCTGCGGGGTCACTTCCCGTCCCATTCGCCAACACTATTGACGCAGACAACAGGTGCAGACGGCTGCATATGCAGCAAGTGTTGAGCCATGATCAAAACATGTCTGGCCTGGAGTTGGGCGACTCGCAGTAGTAGTATCAAGGGTTCCATGAACGGTTCGTGAAAACTACCGACCATTCCGTTTGACATCTGTCATGACGTCTTGTCCGGTACTTGCGTGGGTACAATATCAGGAGATGATCAGACGTGTTCTTGTCCTGGAGGCCACCCGTGTCTGCTGTACATGAGCCAGGATGAGGTTTGTTGAATGCGCAGTGCGACTCCTGCATGTTTGTGGCGCGGGCTGAGTGCTTTGCATGCCGGTCTCGTTCCGAAGTTCCGCCTTGGATGCTAACGCGACTTCATTTGCAGCCTCATACGAAGATTCCGAGTTGCTACTCACAATTATATCCTGATAGTGTTCGGTGTGCCTCGTAACGCCCTCACAAGACTTCTACCTGGCCGACACAGTGCATGTTTGCTTACCATAAGGAAACCACGGCTCCCTAGATATCCCAGCGGATGCAGGCGCGGGCGGGTGATCGACTAAATTCGAAAAGTACGGGACTGTTTGTTGCCGCTGTCTGCGAACACGTATGCGGCGGGGCCTGCTTGACTCTTCCAGGGTCGACCTGCAGTACAAGTTGCATACCATAGGCAGGAGCTAATGAACCACACCAAAACAAACCCAGTATACGGAAACGATGTGGGTGTAGAAATGCTTCTAGCGGCAGGTGCTGCTGCGAGGGTTGGGTGGATGTGTTTCGGGCTTACCTAGGTGATTGACGAGCTCTGCCGCAGCAGGTATTGTGTCGTAGCTCCAAAAACAGCAGCTTGTATCGCCCACTTTGCAAATTGTTATGAGGTAGGCGGTACGTCGCTCGTGGTGCCTTTTCGTGGTACGGACAGCAGGGTGGTAATGTTCACGTGATCTGGGATCAGACGCGCGGATCAATTGGTCCCCGAGCTCCGACGCGCTTAGACGCGTTCGGCCATGTTGTCACTGCTCAAGCATCAACTAACGAGACAACATCACCGCCTCACCATATCAACCAGCGTGCGAACACCATGCGTACAGAGACTTAGAGTCGCCTAAATCACACTGAGTAGCGGCTGCAACTATGTTCAACTTCACGCCCCTACTGGGCGCACAGAGCTCCTCACCCGCGTCGCAGTCGTTGCTGGAGTTCGATGGAGGCATACAAATCTTGATCGATGTTGGCTGGGATGAAGGTTTCAGTGTAGAGAAGCTCAAAGAGATAGAGAGGTAGGTCCTTGATCTGGCTGCGAACGCGATGTGGAGCACAGCTGAAGTATGGGCTGTTCATATGTGCTGCACGCGCCTGGGAAACACGGGCAGCGGGTAGCAAAGTCGCTATATAGCAATACACGATACATACACGATGACTAATTCAGATACTGCAGACATGTCCCCACCCTCTCATTCATCCTGCTTACTCACGCGACCACTGCGCATCTCGGAGCCTACGTCCACTGCTGCAAGAACTTCCCTCTGTTCACGCGAATCCCCGTCTACGCGACCAACCCCGTCATATCGCTCGGCCGGACGCTGCTCCAAGACCTGTACGAATCCACGCCGCTCGCCTCGTCCATTATCCCCACCGAAGCTCTCAGCGAGTCCGCATACTCCTTCTCTTCGGCGCTCACGGGTGGAAAGAATCCCAACATTCTTCTCCAGGCGCCTACGTCGCAAGAGATTGCCGATTACTTCGCGCGCATAAATCCGCTTCGATATTCCCAACCGCATCAACCCATCCCTTCGCCGCATTCGCCTCCGCTCAATGGTCTCACCATTACCGCATACAGCGCTGGACACACGTTGGGAGGTTCAATATGGCATATACAGCATGGAATGGAGTCGGTCGTCTATGCCGTCGACTGGAACCAAGCCAGAGAGCATGTCCTCTCCGGAGCTGCTTGGCTCGGAGGGCCTGGCACTGGTGGCTCTGAAGTTCTGGAGCAGTTGCGCCGTCCAACTGCCTTGATCTGCAGCAGCAAAAACACCAGTATGGTCAAGGTGGCTAGATCGCCCAACAAGCGAGACGAGGCCCTCCTCGAGATGATTCAAGACACAGTGGCCAAGGGCGGAACCGTCTTGATCCCCTCAGACTCGAGTGCTCGTATACTGGAACTGGCCTATCTTCTTGAGGAAACATGGGAGCGGGAGGCAACAAACGCCGAAGGGGGCGGTTCACTACAAAGCGCAAAAGTCTATCTTGCGAGTCGAACGGGTGGTGCAACAATGCGATACGTACGCAGTATGTTGGAATGGATGGAGGAGGGCATCGTGAAGGAGTTTGAAGCCAGCGCTGCGGATCAAGATCGGAGGAACAAAAGCGGCAAAGAGGAAGACCGCGCCAGAGTCCCGTTCGACTTCAAACATATCACACTGGTTGAGCGCAAGACCCGCGTAGCTAGGATGCTAGGCGCCAATGGACCGCGAGTGATACTAGCAAGTGATGCGACGCTCGAGTGGGGATTCTCTAAAGATGCTATTCGAAGCCTGGCGGCCGACGAAAAGAACTTGGTCATCCTCACTGAAAGAGCTGGCCAACTGGGCGCTCAGAAGAAGGGTCTCGGCCGATATCTCTGGGAACTGTGGAACCAGCGCAACGCTTCGCCAGGGCAGGACGCTCCTTCTACAACCATAGTCGACGCCGCGGGCGATCAAGCGCCGCTCAATACTATACGGACAGTCGCACTCGAGGGAGACGAGGTTCCGCTTTATCAGCAGTTCCTTGCCGGCCAGAGACAACGGCAAACTACCATGGGCGGTGATAATGCAGCAATGCTCGAAACATCCGCTGATGTTGTCGACGACCGATCATCCACCGAGTCAGAGAGTTCGGAAGGCTCTGGTGATGGATACCGAGGAAAGGCCCTCAACGCGACCGTCGCTCTTCAACATGCACGAAACAAGCTTGGCATGACAGACGCGGAGTTGGGTGTCAACGTACTCTTACGCCGCAAGAACGTCCACGACTATGAAGTGCAAGGAAAGAAAGGAAAAGAGAAGATGTTCCCGTTCCAGGCCAAGAAGCGTCGAGCGGACGACTTTGGTGATCTGATCCGACCCGAAGATTTTGCGCGCGCAGAAGAGGAAGACAACACTGCTGGGGAAGCTCTTCGTGGGGAGGGAACTAAGAAGGAGAACGCTGTTGGCCAGAAGAGGAGGTGGGACGACCTACTGAACAACACCGACACTAACAAGGCCAACGCCAATCAAAAACGACGGAAAGACAAAGAGGCTCGAGAAGGCGAGGACGGAGAATCGGACAGCGAACCAGAAGACGATCCGGACAAAGTGGAAGGCCCATCGAAAGTCATCATTGAGTCGGAAACCCTGGAAATCCGGTGTCGCATTGCCTTTGTCGACTTTTCAGGCCTACACGACCGCCGCACGATCCAGCAACTTATTCCACTTATCAAGCCTCGCAAGCTCATCTTCGTGGGTGGTGAGGAAGGCGAGACTCTGGAGCTTGCAGAGATCAGTCGCATAGCGCTGAACGCAAACACCGATTCTGCCAACGCCATCGATGTCTTCACACCCACAGTCGGCGTGATGATCGACGCCAGTGTCGACACGAACGCCTGGAGTGTCAAGCTCAGCCGCAGTATGGTGCGCAACCTCCGTTGGCAGAACGTTCGCGGCATGGGTGTCGTCGCCATCACTGGTCGTCTCGCAGCTGCAAGCCTGGAGCCAGAAGTCAAAGAAGAGGCCGATACGCCTGCGAAGAAGAAAGCTCGACTCGACGCCCCTGCCGTCCCCGTTTCTAGCGACAAGAATGACGATACACCCATTCTCGACGTCGTTCCTACGAATATGGCTACCGCTGTTCGATCCGTTGCACAACCTTTCCATGTCGGCGATCTTCGCCTTGCTGATCTGAGGAAGCTCATGAATGCTAATGGCATGCAAGCTGAGTTTAGAGGCGAGGGTGTATTGGTCATTAACGGAACAGTGGCGGTAAGGAAAACTGCCACTGGTCAGATTGAGATTGATGGAGGGGCCTATGGTAATCTAGATCCAAGGAATAATGATGCGGCGACTTTCTCTAGGGTCAGGAGGCAGATATATGAGGGCTTGGCTGTGGTTGCTGGAGGCTGAGCGCTTAGAGGTGCCGTTTAGGCATTGTGTTAGGCATTCGTGGATTACGTTACATTGTTCGCTGCTCACAGACAAAACAGAATTCTACGAATAAATGAAGTATACACTATTCGAGTTCTATGAGACTAGTGCTCATGTAGGCAGTGCATTATGCTAATATGCGTACGTCAAAACCAACGGGTACAATATGAACGGCCGAATCTAGTAATTCGCCTCTACCAGTGTAAGGCAGATGCTAGGCAACATGGTGACCTAACATATTGGCCAAAAATCAGCTAGGTTTCCTTACCGGTCAATAGGCTTTTTCACCGGCGCAAGGCTTTGCGCGACGTTCCTTGGTATCGCAAATGAATTTGGGTTGCGCATCCGTTTCTATTAGCATGCGTCTTCGTGTGACTTCTGCTCAGCTACAAAAGGTCGCTCTCATTGAACAGTTCGTCGATAACTGTTGTACGTGTTGGTGAGAGGTCATACAGCATGATGTTCGCTCATATTAGCCAATCAGCCGAATGCAACAGTCTACTTGGGGAGGCACGAATGGCTTGCGGTAACACCAGCTCGGTTACTCAGGCTGCATGTGGCGGCTGCCACGTTTAAGGCTGATCGAGCTTGCCTTCTGACCTAGTTACTGTCTGCCATTATCGCCACCCCTCTATCGTCGACATCACTTTTCCGTCGTCCGAATGCGTCATCATTAACCAGCTTCCGACTGTAGTTACATGACCGATTGTTGATCGCACGACGCCTCAAACCCCAGCTTCACGTCGAGCTCATTTCGTCGCATACAAAGCTGTCGACTGGCACCGGTCCCTCAATCTCGCTCTTCATGCGCCTCCTGCATTTCGGAAACGGTCATCTCAGCCTGGTTGAGTTCCAGGGCAATGGCACCCCACCTTACGCCATTCTTTCGCATACGTGGGGGTCAGATCTCGACGAGGTCAGCTTGAAGGACATCGCAGATGAAGTTGCTCTGCAAGACATTACAGATAGCACAAGCCGCAGGAAACCGGGATATACTAAAATTGTCTTCTGCGCAGAGCAAGCAGCAAAGGATGGTTTAGAATACTTCTGGGTTGATACCTGCTGCATCGACAAATCAAGCAGCGCGGAGCTCTCAGAAGCAATCAACTCCATGTTTCGCTGGTATCAAGAGGCGGCAAAATGTTATGTCTATATGTCGGACGTATCGATCAAAGACACCAGCTCCTTCCAAGCCAGCCGATGGTTCACTCGCGGATGGACACTACAGGAACTTGTTGCCCCGAAGGTCCTCGGTTTCTACTCGGTCGAGGGCGAGCATATCGGTGATAAATCCTCATGGTTACAGGAGATAGTGAACATAACAAGGATACCGAAGCGCGTCCTTCAGGGTGGTAGTCTCTTTGAGACGAGCGTTGAGGAGCGATTATCGTGGGCAGATACGCGTTCAACTAAACGAGAAGAGGACCTCGCGTACTCTCTTTTGGGTATATTCGATGTCCATATGCCGCTCATATACGGTGAGGGCAGAAGGAACGCCTTCTCAAGGCTCCAAGAAGAGATACTCAAGTCTCAAAGCGGTGAGGCACACTCTACAGGACCCCGTCCGTTGTAGACCCAAGCGGTTACCAACTAGCCAAGAAAAGCGCTAACAGCTTCTACAGCAACGGCAATGATGGTGGAATCTAGGCGCATGGGACCAGGTGGGGTTCCCCAGTCGCATAATGCAAACAGTTGCGCACATATAACAGGGCGGACGGGCAACATCAGAGTCGGCGGTCGCGCTGATGATGTCAATACCGGAATTTCTCTCAGAAGATTTGTAAGCGGGATTTTCTTAAACTCAGGCTTTGCTTGAATGTACTCCCATGTTTTCGCCGCGAGTGAGCTCTCGAGGTTGACGCCGGCATCATTACGTCAAGTCAAATAGTGCATATCTCTAACGCGTTACTAGGCATCAGACTCACCCTTTTCGACAGGAATCTCCAGAGAAACTGGGTCTGTGGACGTTGGCCTCGATTCTAGCGATATCAACACCGGAGTTAGAATCTGGTGATCAAGTGTCGCCGATGTGGCTGATCCGTTTGAGAAACCCGGATGTATACTATCCATACCGCTGGCGAGATACTTACCGAGTATGTAATATCAGCATACACGTCTTACAGGTCCGAGAACGAGAACTTTCAAAAGAGCTAAAAGGAACAGCATGTTCAACGTGGCCCAGAATGAGACATCGGAAGCGACCAAAGTATCACGCGCAAACCAAACGCTGTATCAGTCGACGTCATGAATAGCGTTCATTACATGAATCCCCGTCACGACAAACAACATTGATATGATATACGACCGCTATGTTTGCCTTTCCAACTTGGCAGGTTGAGAACGCGTCAACGAGCTAGATCGGTAGAGTATCTACTCTTCATCGGTGATACCAGTCGACGACCCCTTGACATGGTCGCCGGTGATATTTCCAGTGTACTCCATTCGCTTCATCCCCGTTTGGTCTTTCCTGACCACGATGCCAGTGTTACCATTGCTAACGCGCTTGTTCGCAGCGATACTCCCAGACTCTCCCACGAACGCATTTCCAACCTTATTTCGTATTCCAGTGGTAATACCATCCACTGTATTGCCTGTCACATTGCCTGTCTTTTTAATGATCTTTGTGTCCTATCGCTATGTTAGCAACTGGTCTAGAGACAACAAATACATTTCTTACAGGCTCGTTAGGCCGCCTTGCGTTACGTTTCTGGTCATCAAGGCCCATGATTTGCAGTATGGTACAACTGCGGATGATTTGATGCTGGCGCTGTCCTGGATAGATGGACAGCGAAGAGGTAGAACATGTTTTGCGCTCGAGATGAGAGCGCGTGATATATACCTATGCCGTCCGGCTCTGTTCTATCAGGCTGAGGGGATCTCAGCTTGCTGCCTTGGAGCGTTCATCCAATGGCAGACCTAGGCTGGTCATTCATATATTGTTTTGCTGCCCAACTGGCCAACGACCAACGACAAGTGATCGGATGTCGTCATGTGTAACCTGTACAGCCTGCATACCATGCACGCTCAAGAGCCGAGTCCTTTGGCATAAGACCGAGGGTATGCCTCGTCCTCTGGGGTCCTCCTGAACTAGCCACTTAAGCTGCGCATCATGCGAGGCTGTGCATGGCGAACTGGCCTATCTTGGTGAAGTTGACAGCCCTGGAGGGACCTTTTCTCTGCTCGGCTAACCCTAGAAAGGTCTGCTGGGGTGGCGCATGAGAGATGCGCCACCCCAGACCTTCAGGAATCGGGACAATCCGCGCTGACACCCGTCGCACAATGGTCTTTATATACCTATCCCTGGACACATCTGAAGCCAAGATCCCACTCTACATCTAGCCACACATTTTCATCCCACTCCGTCCCATCACCGACCTCGATATCTCGCTACCAGCAGAACCGTATCTGCGCCTGTACGACTTCGCCGCCGCCACCTCTCTTCGCCCAACTCCTCAACTACATCATCGATCGAATCCGCATCGCGGGAAAAGTCTTTCCGTTTACAAAGATTGGTAGACCTTCTGGTCCAGCGGAATGGGCCTATTCAAGAGCGCTTGGGATCGGGACTTCCTGATCACCGTGGTGGCAGTATTCGGCATCGCCAGTATCAGTCTGGCACTAGTTTGGGGCTCTCCCTGTCCTGAGGCCTCTCCTATAACGCAAAACAACAGCACCGGTCCTACAGGTGATATCACAGCGGGTCACGACATTGGCTCTGCTTCAACTGGCATAGACGGGAAGCCGCCGTCGACATGACCGTGCCATTATGGCTGATTGTGACCCTGGAGCTGTGGGCGAGCATGGCCGTGATGGTATGGATGAGCGTGCCTGTATGGCATCCCTCTTCCACCTGCAAACTAGTTCAACTGACTGTGCCTCGGGAGGAAACAACGGCTTGTGTCTGGCGATGTTGTCAATGCGGTGTGAGTACTCCTTCCCTGGCAGATCGCGACTGGATAGCGAGCTGACATCCTTTTCTACAGTACTGTACCATGTTTCTCCCCGTGCTCCCAATACGGCGATGTACTGGCCGACGGACCAGGCAAACGGAATGGGTTTTACGAGCACGACCGTGGGATTAGTGCCTTACTACGACTGAGTTAGCAGAGGATGCGGATATATACATGTCAGATAATAGATTGGGGTCTTGTGTAACATACTCTTATCTGTTGCCGCCATAGAACTTGATTACGCGCCAGCCTGCGGCTTCTCTTTTTGGTCCTCCTGTGACACGGATGCGCGGCCTGCTATGACGCGCTCTCGCGCGTCCATTCCTTCGAGCAAGCCTGCAAGCGTCGAGACACGCGCATCTATGGTACTGGTTGATGGCGCATCATGATGTCTGTTCTGCGACTTTTGTACGAAGGGTTAGCATTTCCCTAGGTAATGCGTAGGGTTGCGTCTCACTGTCGCACTTGCCTAGATAAGCGCGCCGATGCCCCACATCCTTGCCTCAAATTGAAGGGCAGCAACTGCGCCACAACTGCATAGCGGCCAAGTCTTTGATCTAACGGGTTGCGCAAGTATTTTCTTTCTATGAGTCCTCTCTAAACGACTGCACGAAAATCGCGCTCGACCAGACACACCATGCCGTCCAGTACTGACGAGGCGCAAGCGCTCGGCCATTCAGAGTTTTGGGACCAACGGTACGCAAAGGCCGACGGAACCAAGCCAACACATGAGTGGTTTCGCGCTTTCGAGGACTTAGAGCCGTTCTTCAAGAAGCATTTGTTCGACAAGACAAGGGAAGAGGGGAAGGATGGAAAAATTCTCCATTTGGGCAGCGGCGATAGTGTAGGTTTCCCATCATCAAACTGCGGAACGACGTGAGCAGCGCAAAATTCATAACCCAACATATGATAGCCTTTGTTTTGACATCGGCTTTCATCCTCTAGAAATGCGCAAATTGTTTTCTGTAATTACATGTTCTGAATGACTGACCCGTCGCCAGACCGTCCCATACGATCTCCTAAAGCGAGGCTACACGAACCAGCTCTGCATTGACTTTTCCTCAATAGTCGTCGATCTGATGAAATCGCGGCACTCGGATGAACCTCAAGTAGAGTGGAGAGTTGGCGATGTGCGGGATATGAAAGGTATCGACAGCAACTCCGTGGATGTCGCCTTTGACAAAGGCACGCTAGATGCCATGATCTACGGCAGTCCATGGAGTCCACCCGAGGAAGTTATGGAGAACAGTGGCAGATATCTTAGCGAGGTGAGTAGATGAATGAGGCGTAAGTTTGAACTTCAACGTATGCTAATTGCGCAAAGGTCTGGAGGGTATTGAAAGATGACGGTGTCTTTCTCTACATCACATACCGCCAGCCACACTTCATCAAGCCTATCCTGAATCGGGATAACGAGTGGGATCTTGAGATGGAGATTATGGGTGGAGGCGACACTTTCCAGTACTTCGGCTTCATCCTGAAGAAGTACACCGCAAGCGCAAAATGAAAGTCCAGCCGATGGGAGTGCGTTTGGAGAGGAGATGCATCCAAAGGGTCAAGATGGATCGAGAGTATGAGGCTCGATTCCTTGTAGGTGCGCCCCAAGAGGCATGCACTGTTTCAAGTTCTCTATTAAAATAATATCAAGATTTACGATGTCTGCAGGATGAAGACGAAGATTAGCTTCCCCGTAGCCCATATGCAATCAATTGATGGCGGGGTTCGCTAGTCGCACGGGCCATCTCCTCTCTGCTCTTTCTCTTTCCCACTCCTCGTCCTTCCCAACTACTTCGTATGCTCCACACGGTGCATCTGGTATCGATCGAACTCTCCTAGTTTGCCACCATCTACACAGACACTGTCTTGCATGAAACAGTCGACTTTCCATCCTTGAACCCTGGCGTGCACACGATCGGTGCGGAACTCTCGAATACTAGCTCGACGCTTCCGTTCTTCGACCCATGAAACTGGATGTTCGCGCTCGCGTTCGCCGCATTCATGCCGATTCCAGCGCCGATGATGATGGCTTCCGGGGTCATGTTGAAGCCGCTTCCCAGACCAAAGTCGCTGGATCCAGCCTGGAGTCCGCCTGTATCGCGTGCGTTAGTTAAAACCGGCCGCATAGTAATTGGAATACATACCTCCGTACGACACATCGGCTTGCCAGTTGATGCCGCAGCCTACACCAATGTCGCCGAATGGTGAAAGGTTACCCGCCGCAGCGACATTGCCGGTTCCGCTAGTCGATGTGACATTTTTTGTCAGACTCGTAATCTCGACGCCGTTGGCTCTTCGGTGTTGATGCGGAGTTGCTGATGCGAGCATCTGCATCGCGAGGAACGGTAAGACGAATTGGGCGAACATGATATCGATGACGTTGACGATGCGACGCGGTTTCAGAAGAGGAGGGCCGATGTATATATAGAGGGAGAACTGCCGTTGGGTAAGGCTGCAGATGGTACAAAGTTGTACTTATAGTCGGTGCTTCTCAAGGTTTGATGATCAGGGGCCCGGCGAGACTGTCTTCATCGCCATTCAGGCTATTCATTACTTCTGTGCTTCTAGTCGACTTCCATCTGTTCTACAGTACCTCCCGGACGATCCGGTAATTGCAATGGCGAGT